ACATACAATAGAATACTTTCAGCCTTAAGAAAAATTAAATTCTGACACACGCTACAATGTGGATGAACCTGGATGACATTATTCCAGATGAAACAAGCAGACACCAAAGGACAGATATCATAAGAATTTTTAAACAAGGGTTTTAAAGCAGGCATCATAAAAATGCTTCAGTGAACAATTACAAACATGCTGGAAACAAGTGAAAAAATAGAAAGTCTCAGCAAAGAAACAGAAGATTTATAGAATCACTAAGCAGATATTTTAGAACTGAAAAATACAATAACAAATTAAGAAATTCAAAGTAAAAATTAATTGGATCCTTCAAAGCTGAGCCAGAACTTCTGAGGATGGACTGACACATGTGTTGGTTTCTCACTGCTTCCAGCCTCCAACTTTGATGATGGGAGCACCCTCATCAAACGTAGGAGAAACTTGTGCCTTTCATCATTGAATTGAACATAAAATTAACCCAGGAGTTAGAGGGGTAGAAGGGAAATTTGACAAGGACTGGAAGAACTGTGGTATAGGGGCTACCCCAAGCCAACCAGATGAGCCAGCAAGTAAGTGACAATGTGCATGCACTGAAATAGAGCCTTGTTACTTGTCATGTCCAATCATGTTGTCCTGTTGCGGAATATTTCTTGTATTCAAGTGTAATGGTAATATGATCACAAATGTGTTAATGCTTCCCCTCCAAGGGATGGAGTTGAGCCCTGGCCAGGTAGCTGAGAGCATCATCCTGATGCACCAACGTTGCAAGTTGGATCCCTGGTCAGGGCACATATGCTGTACAAGAATCAACCAATGAACACATAAATAAGTGGAACAACATGATCTCTCTCTCTCTCTTCCCCTCTTTCTCTAAAATCAATAAATAAAAGTTGGAGTTTAATTACCTTCCTCTTGAATGTGAGCCGGACTTAATGACTCATTTCTAACAAACATCTGGTGGAAGTAATAGCGTGTGACTTTGAGACTAGACCATAAAAGTCACTTCAGCATCCTCCTTGCTTTCTCATAGATTGCTTGCTCTTGGTTGCTATGTCATGAGAATGACCAAACGCTGGACAGTCCTTTGTCAACATGTCTATAAATTTAGGGTGAGTCATCTAGGCGGGAAATCCTCCAGCCCTAATCAAGCCTTCAGACGAGTGCAGCTCCAGCCAACACTTTGAATACAGCTTCATGAGAGATGCTGAGCCAGAACTAACCGGCTAAGATGCTCTCCTACTAACCCTATTTTTCTGCCCAGAAGCCATTTTTTTTCTAATGCAGTGAATCTCAATAAGATTCACAGGAGACTACAAAGTGACAAAATTGTGTTGGTGTAGACACCACAAGCTTAGTCTGAAAATGGTAGAGATGGCGCAAAAAGAAAAGAGCCCTTTGGACCCCAAAATCCTACTAGCAGGAAGTAGGCTGAGGGAAGTAGGCTGCATAGCTGTAAAAATGGGCTGCCTTTCACAGAAAAGAAGGATATTTAGAAGATAGAACCAAAAGCATAGCAGGAAGAGCCATGGAGAATGTACAAATTGTCAATAAGCACATGAGATTACATCTTGGGAAAACGCATCAGGAAAATGCAAATCAAAACTACTGTGAGATATGACTTCACATTTATTAAGACATATAGAGTTTAAAAATGGATAATAACGTGTGGCAAGAATGTAGAAAAACTGGAATCCTCCCGCATTACTAATGGGAATGTAAAATGGGACAGTTGCTTTGAAAGGCAGTCTGGACCCCTGGCTGGTGTGGTTCAGTGGATTGAGCACCAGCCTATAAACCAAAGGGTCACAGGTTCGATTCCCAGTCAAGGCACATGGCAGGGATTGTGGGCCAGATGCCCAGTAGGGGGCACGCAAGAGGTAACCACACATTGATGTTTCTCTCCCTCTCTTTTTCCCTCCCTTCCTCTCTCTCTAAAAATATATAAATAAATAAAATCTGGGGAAAAAAATAAAAACAGTCTGGCAGTTCCTCAAGAAGTTAAACACAGAGTTAACATGTGAGCCAGTAATTCCACTCCTAGTTATACACACTAAAGAACTGAAAACTTTTGTATGAAAACTTGTTCATGACAACATTATTCTTAATAGCCAAAGGTGGAAACAACCAAAATGTCCATCAATTTACAAATAGATATACAAAATATTGCATATCCATACCACATAATATTATCCAACTATTGAAAGGGATGGGGACCTAGGGGCAGCTCTGTACATTCAAGAACACTGCCTGCAGAATTTGTGCTTTTTGAAATCATGGCAGGTCCAGAAACTGATGCCCATTTCCAATTCCCTGGTATCAGAAAATATCTCAACTCTTACACTCCTATGGGTAGAATGAATTATGTACTGGCCACACATGGAAGCATTGCTTTGCTGGCTTCATACTTCAAGTTAAGGTCTAAAAAAATCCACTGTGAAAGCAACAAAAAAGGATTTTAAACTGTACCTTGTCTGTTAACTTCCTATGCCCAGAGAAGCTAATGTCAACTCATCACGTGATACTCAATTGGTACAATGAAGTATAAACCTGGAAAAAAAATTTTTTTAATTAAGAAGGAATGAAGCACTGATACATTTTACAATGTGAATGTACCATGGAATCCTTGCGCTAATCAAAAAAAGACAGATACAAAAAAGGCCACATATTGTATAATTCTATTTATATGACAAGTTGAGATCAGGCAAATTCAAGGAAAGAAAAAGTAAATTAGTAGTTGCCAGAGGTTGAAGGGAATAGGGAGTGATTAGAATGATGAAAATGTTCTGAAAATTGCATAGCAGCAATGGTTGCAGTATATTTAGTAAATATACTAAAACCCCTGAATTGTGTACTTTAAAATGGTAAATTTTATAATATGTTAATTATACCTTTAAAAAATTATCCACAGAGACACATTCCTGGACAGAAATCAGACTGAGTCCTAATGAAGGAAATGTCAACATTTCCCCCACTGGATTTGAGAACTGCTATGGACCGGTGACTTGGGTGTGCCTCTCAGTTCAGTGCCCCCCTTTTTAATCAGCAATGTCTACAATGATTATCTTTTTACTGTCCCGCCATTGTATTAATATGCAGGCAATGATGACTTGTCTGTTTAGGTCACAGGAATTCAGACTGAGAGGAGCTGTATGTAAGAAATTATATCCACAGAGTCTTGTCTGCGCCTGGGTCTAATTTAGATGGTGTATTAGTTTGCTCTGGCTGCCATACAAAATACCACAGATGGGGTGGTTTAAGCAACAGAAATTTATTTTCTCACAGTTTTGGAGGCTAGAAGTCCAAGATCAAGGTGTAGAGAGGTTTAGTTTCTTCTGAGACCTCCCTACTTGGTTTATAGATGGCCACCTTTTCACTGTGTGCTCACATGGTCTTTCCTCAGTACACACACATCCCTGGTGTCTCTTTGTGTTCCTCATACCCCCTTCTTATAAATGGTATTAGTCAGACTGGATTAGAGACCACCCTCACCACCTCATTTTAACTTAATTACCACAAATACAGTCACATTCTGGGGTACCAGGGATTAGGGCTTCAACATATGAATTTGGGTGGGGGAGACACAATTCAGCTCATAACAGGCAGCAAGTGTATTGTATATTTGGTAAATGTTGTATTTTCCTGATGTTTCAACATCCCCCAAAACAGGCTGTGATCACCCCACTGGGTGATCAGGTGCACCAGTGTGATAAAGCCGGTTCCTGCAACAGGTTCCCTTCTTGCCATCTGCTGACTGTGACCTCTTGACATTCAAATACACCAACAAAATTCCCTTTGCCTCTTGCTTGTGTACTCCACCCTGACCAGTAAAAGCACTTTCACCTGGGTCCTCACTCTCTTGGTTCCCGATCTGCTTGGTTGAGCCCACTCCCTCAGCACTCTTCCCTGGGGCCCCCTGAATGCCAGACCTCCCTCTTCTAGGACCTGTGAATAAATCCTCTAATTTCACATGCTTCCCTGAGTGTAATTTCTACAGCCTTGGTGGAATAATCCTAAAGACTCCCTAAGGGGTCTCACTCCCCAGTTCACAACACAGCAAGATTCTGAACTTTCCACTCATTGATGAGATGAGAAGGGAATTTGGACCCTTGGGAAAGATGAGTGTGTTTTTCATGTGGGAGGAAAGTAAATAATTTGTGACCAGAGGCAGACTGTGATAGTTCTTGATATTATTCCCCTTGAGAAGAAGTAAAGCTTATTGCCCCTCCCTTTAAGCAGCAGGTGGACTTAGTGACTTGCTCCTAACAAATTAAATATGGTAGAAGTGACAGCATATTTCTTCCAAGACTAGATCATAAAAGTCACTGGAGTTTCCTTACTTAGACTGCTCACTCCAGGGAAAGTTGGTTCTGAACTCTCAAGCAGGTCATGTAGAGGCCCTGTGGCAAGGAACTTTCCTGCCAAAAGCCACATGAGCGAATCATATTGGAAGGAGATCTTCCAGCCTCATTTAACCTTTTGGATGACTGCAGCCCCAGCTGACATCTCTACTATAACCTCATGGGAGACTCTGAGAAGGAATCATTCAGCTAAGCTGCTTCCAGGTTCCTGACCCCAGAAACTATGTGAGATAATAAATGTTTATTATTTGAAACTGCTAAGTTTTGGGTAAAACCATGCCCCCTGTAGTGTTCTCATTGTTTAACCCACCTCTTACCCATGGGCTATTTTTCTCTTGAGTTCTTCACTGTGAATAATTATGTCAACAAATTCATAAGTGATAATCTCTTTCCTGATCATTCCTCCCTACCTACTAACTAACAAATATTGAGACGGGGGGAATAAAGTTTGAAGAGGCTTAGTTCTTGAGAGGTATTTGCTTGCGCACAAGTGTACTGTAGGAGAGGCTGGGAAGGTTTGGGAACCAAAAGGTGCCAAAAGACTCCTAGGTAGAAAGAACTCTAAAACCAATTTGTTCTTTCTCTCTTCCTCTCCTTCTTCAAGTTGTCTTGTCTCAACAACTGCCAGACATGATAAACAGGAGACAATTTATTCCACATTACCCGAAACTGTAGGCAAAGTAGAGACAAAGAAGAGGAGTGCAAAACAGGCCTAAAACAGGCCTAAAATCCTCCCTTTCTAATTATTTGCATTGAAAAGGACCAAATAACTTAAGGGTTGTGGGGAAGAATGAGGAGGGTGATTCAGATGAATGGATAGAACTTGGTGCCTGGAGTTCAGAAAAGGTCACAGAGACCCCTTCTTTTGCTCAGGATCCAGGACTTCTTCCTGGGTGACAAAGATGCTTGAGACCATTCATTCAGAGAAACTGATCTGGTACTGCTGTTCTAGGACACGGTGCCAGAGGGATGGCTCAGAATCAGACTCCAGGGATTTTTATTGTCGAAGTAGCAGAGGACCGCTGGGAAAAGATAAGGGCATGGGGGAGGTGAAAGTCAGAGTGTGGAAAGAAAGTGGCAAGCAGTGTGAGGCCAAAAAGAAGTCCCTAAAAACCTCCCACCCTCTCTCCACACCTCTGTTCTGACCCACCCACGTCCCTTCCTTCCCAGGCCCCCTCCTTCCCAGGTCCCTCCAGACCACTCACCACAGGTGACATATAGGAGAAACACCACCCAACCAATGAAATAGCTCCACCCAATGGGGATCGATAAATTCCTCTTCAACTCGAAAATCCAGACGTTAACAGGAAACAACATGAGGGTGGAGAAAATGAAGACAACTAGGAGACAGGAAGCAGAGATGTCTTGCCCACCCATAGGGACTTTTCCTCATCTGCTGAGCTATAGCCACAAACCATAATTCCCATCACTGCACATGCAGTGCACAGCCCCAGAGGTTCATGGGAATTAACCCCTCACCTCTACCTCTCTAGTGACCAGGAAATGACGGAAATCAGTTTTCAGTCAACAAATACCAGTTCTACCAGTTCTGTTCTGCCACCACCCACAAAACTGTTACCTCACTCCCAAAGAAAGAAAGAGGGAGAAGCGTGTAGGAAGACGTGGGTTGGGATAAACTAAGGACCTTTTCCAGAGCTAGGGGGCACCTTCACAGAAGCTCATGAAAGTCCCAATCCAGCCAAAGTAAGGCACTCTCTGAAGACCAGGTATGTACAGCAGGTGCAACCAAATGGTGAAGATGAATCCCAGCACCAGGGCCAGCCTGAAGGTTATCTTGGCCATCCCAAAGACTGGGCGATTAGTCCACAGCTTAAAACCATCTGGGGAAAAGGAGAAAATGGGATAAACTAAGGACTGACAATAGACAAAATGAATCAAATGAGCAAATATGAGAAAATGTTCAAGCCCATTAATAAATAACCAAAGAAATGCACGTTTGAGACAACAATAAAATACCACTTTCATTTATTAAACAGGCAGTGGTTTTTGATGGAGATTATTTGATAATTCTAACCATATAAAAACAAATTCCTTGCCCTGGCTGGTGTGGCTCAGTGGACTGAGCACTGGTCTGTGAACCAAGAGGTCTTTGGTTTGATTCCTAGTCAGGGCACATGCCTGGGTTGTGGGCTGGGTCCCCAGTGGGGGATGTGCAAGAGGAAACCACACATTGATGTTTCTCTCCCTTTCTTTCTCTTTCCCTTCCCATCTCTCTAAAAATAAAGAAATCAATAAAATCTTTAAAAAACAACAAATTCCTCAATAGAAAAAATAGGCAGAGAAATTGAACTGCAATTCTCAAAAGAAGTAAGCTGAATGTCCAATAAATACATGAAGCTCAACACAAAGAACTGCAAATACACAGTGACTTTTCAAATCTATTAAACTAGCAAAGATCAAAACAAAAGTAATTATATCTAATGTAGGGAAGGATTTAGAAAAAAAGAGGTGCTTTCACACCCCGTTAGTGGGCAGCATTTTCTGGTGAGTGATATAGCACAAAAACAAAAAACCGTAAACGCTTCTTTTTGGAATTTACGTTAAGGAAGTAATCAAGATCTGCACCAAAATATGTAGAGATCTTCTCTGAAGAGATATGAACATGTCCAACAAGAGATTTGTTAAATAAATTATAGTATACCCACACATTGGATTATTATGTTAATTAAAAATGATGACGTGACAGAAGATTGTCTCCAAATAGTGTCTCTAGGAATAAAGGAGGAACTGCCTGAAAGTCAGAGGTTGGGGACTCACTTCACTATGTGGATCGTATGTTTGAATTTTGACTCTGTTTATATACTACCTGATCAAATAAATTTTAAACATAGGTGACATTCTAGAAAAATTATTCAGTGATATGAGCAAATGTTCACAACTGAAAAGTGGAATTTGCAACATAGGGCATGTAGAATGATTCCAATTTTTAAAAATACGTATATTTATTAAAATAAAAATAAACAATAATTGAATTGTATGCCTGAAACCTATATAATTTTATTAACCAATGGCACCCCAATAAATTCAATAAAAAGGTAAAAAATAAAATGAAAGTTATGTATCTATTTATGTGTATTTATTTTATGTATATATATGCATGAAAGACTGAAATTATATCCATTATGTTGTCAATTGTGATTATATCTGTGTGGGGAAATTTTAGGTGATTTTTATTTTTCTTAAACTTTCTGCATTTCCCACAATAACTGCATAATGTTTTTTTTAAGATTTCATTTATTTATTTTTAGAGAGAGGGGAAGGGAGGGAGAAAGAGGGAGAGAAACATAGATGTGAAAAAGCAACATTGATATATTGCCTCATGTATGCGCCCGACCAGGGACCGAACCTGCAACCTAGGCATGTCCCCTGACTGGGAATAGAACTGGTAACATTCATGGGACAATGCCTAACAGAGCCACACTGATCAGGGCTGTGTGATTTTTTTTTAATTAAAAAATTATATATTTCAGCCCTGGCTGGTGTAGCTCAGTGGATTGAGCGCAGGCCTGTGAACCACAGGATTGCGGTTCAATTCCCAGGCAGGGCACATGCCTGAATTGCAGGCCAGTTCCCGGCAGGGGACACACAAGAGGCAACCATACATTGATATTTCTCTCCCTCTCTCCTTCCCTTCCCCCTAAAGATAAATAAATAAAATCTTTTTAAAAATTATATATTTCATTTAAATATATATAAAGTTAATAGTAATTGCTGGCAAAAGTGCAAGGAAATGAGCCTTCTTATACATTATTAGTGGAAGCATAAATTGCTATCAGACTTTTTAAAAGCAACATAGGAAATGTTATTAAGGGCCTTAAAATATTTATACTATTTTTATAGTAGGCAGTTAGACAAGAGCAGAGCAAGGAAGATGGGCCAGGTCAGAAGGTCACCAAGGCAGAAAGCCCTGGATGCCTAGCAACAGGCAAAACTGGGAAAACAGGGACCTCATCTGCAGGGTAACCTTTCCTCCCCTAGCATTCACTGGTCATGTGGTTTGGACCCTCCCCTAACCTTTCCTCCCCTGGCATGTTACTAGTTATGTGGATTAGATACCCCCCTTAGAGGGGGAAGAACAAGGAGGCTGGAAAGTAGCCCTTAAACCCCCAGCACAGCGAGGTTCTGACCCACATCAAGTACATCTATATCTCAGTTGTTTTTCAGCTCCAGGCCCAGAAATGCAGCAAAACCAGACAAGCAAGGTGGCTGACAACCAACACTAGGACCAGCTGCACTGACTAATGACTTCCTGCTCTGGCACCAACCAATCAGTAGAGACCACAGCCCTGAAAGGACCACCCCTGGAAAGTTGATGAATATTCTATTGGGATTCTCCCTGAGACTTCCAGATAAAGACCATCAAGCCTAGGATGAAGCAGGGCTCTCTCTATGGAGCCCACCCGTGCCTTTCCCCATGCCCTTCCCCCATGTTTTTTTCCTTGCCTCTCTTTCTCCTAAGCACCAAAGGCCCTTTTTCTGCCTCTGTAACTTGTTTCCTGAGGCCATTTCTTCTATGGCTCACTTCTACCTCTGTGACTTTCTGAACAAACTTTCTCTTATACTTTGAGTCTTGACTCTGAATTCTTTCCTAGCCAGAACTCAAGTACCAAGGTCCAGTCTGACTCCAGTCTGGCCTAACACCTGGGACCTTTTCACCTCCAACGATTTGATCCAGTAAACCCACTTTAGGAAATCTATACCAAAGAATTAGTATTAAACACAGAGAAAACTTTATGATTAATAAATTCTGTTGCTTTCATCTTCCTCAAATATGAAGTTAGAAATAAATTTGCCAGGAATAGAAAAATAAAAGAGTCAAGTAAGAGATGATAAATTTATTAAGTTGAATACTATAGTCACTTAAGGAAAAGTTTACTATATATTGTAAAGATAAATTTTAAAATAATATAGATTAAATAATAAAATAATTTAAAATATATAAAATTGTTTATGAAGAATGAATACAACTATGTAAGTCATTTAAAATTTGTTCAATTTTTTTTAAGTCTGGAAAAAACTGAGTGCTCAACACACTGCTAATGGCTGTCTTTGAACAGCACTACAAAGCAGGTTAGGTGCTCACATGAATTTTGGAGAAAGACACACCTGAGTTATATAATTGTAAACATGCCATTATTAGGTTAATCCAGATGAATTGCTCTTTTTTATAGATGAAACACAGTCAAATGTTGGCCATTTCATGTGGTCCAACCTAACATCTTTACGACCCTGAGCAAGGCACTTAATGTGAGCCTCAATGTTCTCATCTGTAAAATTAGGATAAATGCCCCAGGAGAGTTGATTGAGGATTTAAATGAGCAAACAGAATAAGTGTGCGATAAATGATAGCTTTTCCTGAAATATATTGTAATAAGAGTGTATTTCCCTGACTGTTGTGGCTCAGTGGATTGAGCACTGGCCTGTGAACTGAAGGACTGTTGGTTCAATTCCCTGTTAGGGCACATGCCTGGGTTTCGGGCCAGGTCCCCAGTTGGGGGAGTGGGAGAGGCAATTGATTGATGTTTCTCTCGTACATCAATGTTTCTCTCCCTCTCTTTCTCCTTCCCTTCCCCTCTCACTGAAAATAAATTTAAAAAAATGTTTTTAATGCATTACTTTCATAATGGAAGAAAATAATAGCTATGTAAAATTTTTTTAAATGTAAATACAGTGAAGAAATGGAAATGGGTAGGGGGTGAGGGTCAAAGTCTCTGGTTTCCACAAGTTTTGAGAAATGAGGCCTAAACCTGGAAAGCAAGAGGCCAGCAGGATGTGACATTAACAAGATGGACAATGAAGCAGCTGCAAGAAGCCAGGAAGGAAAGGGCACGAAGACCACATGTGGAAACCCATAGATGGCCCCGAAAAGCAAAGCCTAAAAAGCCAAAAGGAAGAACAATGGCTGTGACCAGGGCCTGAGGGAGAGCACTCTGGGAACTCCTCCCAAAGCTCTGCTATGCAAGCCTAGAGAAAGGAAATGCTACCTTGATGGGGCTTGTCTCCCAGGATAACTTTTATGTGATTAATGAGTGATTCACTTGCACTAAGAGGCCAGGCCCCTCACCACATTTTTATAAGTAGACTTGACTGCAAGCCTTATCAAAGCAGTAACGCTTTCCATTGGCCAGGCTGAGAGAGCAAAAATGAGCCTTGGCACCAGTCTTGGTGCCAGTGGAGTCATCTTACCAGCCAAAACAGTGAGGATGACCAGAAGGAGGGGACAAGAACACCAGGGTATAAATGGAGGGGTGAAGACAGGCTGGAGGCCAGGGGTAGAGGATCTCACCTTTCCTGCTCTCTGAGATGGGACATTTCTTGGATCTGCAGATCTGAAGGAGTCCCATGGACATGATAACAGCCGATGTGTAGATTCTATGAGTAACATTTGTGGGCCAGCGCTGGTAGAAGCGGCTTGAAGAGAGGTACAGCCATTTTGTGGACAAGGCCATGATCAGCAGCAGGATGAAGGCAATCAGGCTGAGCCCTGAGGCCAGCTTCGGCCCCCTCCACTGGGAAGTCTGTTTAATTTTCATCTGAGGGCCAAAGGAGAGTCCCAGTTGTGCATCACAGACGACTGCCTGTTTCTGTTGGGGGCAAAGACAAAGTTCTGCACTCCCTCTTCTTGTCCCAGGTTCATTACTGTCCCATCTACCTTTCCAACCTCACCTCCCTTTCCAGGCTTCTAGTGCTTTCTCCTCCTGACCCAGGGAACTCACCCCTAATGTCCCCTGTCCCCATCTTGAGCATCCTCTTTATTCCTTTTCATCCCCCACCCCATCTCCCCTTCCCTTCCTAGGCCTACTTGTCCCTCATCTTCTAAACATGTTCATCAGGCAGAGCAGTTGCCACCCCAGGGCCTGAGATCTGGAAAAGAACCACCCTTTCAGCAGGACAGGGCCCCTAACTGCCATAGAATATTCGGGGAGCCGGGCAGGCAAGTGGGGGAGGGGCCCACAGCTTCAGCTCCAACTCCTTCTCAACTACCTGCTCCTCAGGTCCCAACTCAGAACTGTGGTTCTTATGCCTCCCTTCACTGAAGAGCAATGGTGTCTGAGAGTCTCCTTTTCTCTTTCTATTTCATCTGCCCTAACACTAACACCAAATACTCACTGATAGAGCAGGAGAAGGGAGAAGAAGTCTATCCCCAGGAAAATACTTGCACATGTTTGCAGAGGTGTAACTAGCCTTCTCACTACTTCCACAACCCCTTCACCTCTCTCTCACCACCACTCACTTCCAGTCAACAGTTGCCATTCCCCTCCCTCTTCTTTCTTTTTAGGTGTTTTGGCTCAGCCTCAGAAGGGGGTGGACATAGGATAAGGACAGGGTATGTAGATATTATGCAGCCTGAGATTTTCCTAATCTCCCTTTTAAATTACAGGAAAAGAAATCTGAGTCGCCTGTGGCAGGCCAATCATAGTAGCTTCAAGACCTAGGTTAGCCCCTGGAATTCTCATGAGGTGCAAGCCTTTCAGATGTGGGATATAAATTTGAATCCCACCGGATTGGTTTACTTTGTGGAGACAATGATACATGTGATTAAAGACACAGGCTTTAGGGTTCAAAAGGCAGAGGTGTGAATAATGAGCTTTCCTCTTAATAACCTTGTGAACCTGGATGAGTCATATAAGCTTCTTTGTGGCTCAGTTCACTCATCTGTAACACAGGGACAGCAATAGTTGTCTCAGACTTAGTTTGAATGTTGAATGAGATCATGAATAAAAACCACTCACTGGTTCACATTAAATTCCCAGAAAGTGGTGGTTGTTACTGTTAAATTGTCATTTTAATTGTTTTGTGCTCTCTCACTAGCAAATGGAGATGGAACAAAAACATAGAGGTGTTTTGGCAGACATCCTTGAATATTAGTGGCTACAAATGATAAAACAGAACCTAAATTAATTTAAGTAAAAAGGGAGTCAGTCATGAATCCTGAAGTCATATGCAGAGCTGAACCTCAGGAATGGTAGGAGTCAAAAATTCACACTCTAACAGTTCAAGATCATGGTGCTGTCATGGTCAGCATGGTTGGGTGAGGCCCCACTTCTAAGTCACAGACTTTTTACTGTATGTCGTCACATGGGGTTAGGGAGCTCTGCAGGATCTGTTTTATTCGGGCACTAATCCCATTCAGGAGGCTGATCACCCTGACCTAATCACCTCCCAAACACTCACATCCTGATACTATCAACTTGGGTGGGTATTTTCCATCACTGGATTTGGGGGGGACACAAATATTCAGACCCTACCACTCTGAATCTGGTCTTACTTCTCCTTGAACATCTTGCTCTTCCTCTGCAGACCAACCTTCTCACCTGTGGTCCACATAGTGAGACACTGTCTACCTTTGGCCATCAGAGAGGAGACTTCTCAGTCTCAAGTCCAAACACTCTTCAGCCCTGCCAGGGACAAGTGCCATCCCTAAGACACTCAGCCATGGTCAGGAGCACCTGAATGTGGAAGCTGACCCACAAACTAATGACACGTAGGGAGTCTGCAAACAAACTTTCTGGCTGCATCAGCCACAGGTTGGGGTAACTCTGAGGCATGTTGAGAGGCATGGAAGAGGGGGTGCTGAGCCTCCTGGAAATGTCATTCATGCAGAGCTAGTTGTCATTAGGATTGTGTCTCCTTCCTTGGATCTGTTTTAGTTTTTCCTGGAGTTTCTAATCATAATAAATAGTTCTAACAGCAACACAAAACAATGTGGAAGAACCTTGGAAATACAATGTTTTCTGAAAAACAGAATTCCAAGAAAAATACACCATAAACATGATGCCATTTGTATAGAGCTCATAAACAAGTTACAAGTAAACAAAACAGTGTATGCATACATACTATTATGATTGCATGTTTTTTTAAAAAAGCAGTGAAATGATAAACACAAAAAAGTAATACTGTCTGTTTCTCTGGGGAAGCAGGGGAAAGGGTGAAGGAGGATTCCATGGCACACACACATCATTGGCAGTAGGGTATTGGTTCTTGATTTGGGTGAAAGGTTCATTACATTAAAATCATTTATAACTAACATATATTTCATATAATCCTGTGAATGTATAAAAAACTGTTTTTGAAAGGGTAATTAAAAGAGCTCAAGAAAGGAAATGTAATCTTAGTGGTTACTAGCCCTGCGTTGAAGGATATTTATAAGTCACAATACCTAAGCTAAACACTGTTAATTGAGTTTCATCTTTTAGAATCAACAGATAGACAAAGCACGGAAGACTTCATGATAGCTACAAAAGTAAACAGAGCTGTTATCAGCCTTGATGCTGCCCAAGTAAAAGCCGAGAGGAGGTAAACTAGAAGGTGGAAAGAGGAGAATAGAGCTGAAGGGAAGGGAAGGGTGCCCAACAACAGGATCTCTATATAAGGTTGTGCAAAATGCACTCTACACAATAGCACACAGTGGAGGGGTGAGTGAGAACTGAACTACAGTCCTCATTTTGCCCGACAAGCCATGCCTCTCTAAGAGAGCTCCCCTGGCCTTGAGGAAGAGGTACTTTGTTCTATATTTCATAAAGGTGCTGCTCCCCACCAAGCCATTTACTGCTCCATCTATTCAGAAGGACTGTCTTTTAACCTCAAGGTGAAAGGCATGAAGGTGCCTTATGGGCTAGCGGTAGTACTCACCAACTTTCTTGTAAGGCTGTGTATCAGTAAGAATTCTTCAGTTGCAAGCAGACTCAAACTCGGTTAGGCAAAAAGGAATGTATTGGGGAACACTGAGTAAACACAGACTCAAAGAGGACACTGAACATCTAGGCCTAGAGCTAAACGAGAACAAGAGAAACATGGGAAGGTGGATCTTCTGACTGACAACCCACTGGAACCACATGGACTTGGGGAAGAATAGCTTCCCAAAAGAAAGGAAGCCAAGCATTCTAAAATTAGTGGTAACTTGCTCACATAGGTACAGAGAGCAGCCAGAATGGAATGCAAAGCTAGGAGGTTTCTGAGAAGGAAACTGCCCACCATTCCATCAGTGAAGACAGGTGCCGGGTACCTGGACATCCCTTCTGGGACATAGGCTCTCAGTGATGGTGGGCAAGGCTGATCTGTAGAACACAAACTTGGGCTACACAGCCTTGTTGGTCATTCCTTGACTGTCCACGGGGACTTGCATTGCTGCCTGCATGACACTCAGAAACAGTCCCACTCCAGGACAACTCACCCCGGCACATGTGTCAGTGTGAATCTCCTTTGTGGCAAGCCCCCAGGCCCTGGCATTGCTAGGATATTTTAATAGTCAGAGACCACAAACTCCAAGGTTCCCTCTCTTTTGCGTCTGTGAAAGTGTGCATTCTTCTTTCAGGTGGGCCTGTTGGTGGTGGTGTGTTTCTCAAACTCGAATGCGTGTGCTGCTGACTTGAGTATCTCCTTACAATGAAGATGCCTCCCTGGTAACAAGCCCCCAGCTCATGCCCCTGCTGCTGGTCTGAAGATGACACACTGAGAAGGGAGGCTGTAGGACACCAGGTGGCTGGCCCCTCTCCCCCAGAATGTCTCAGCCTGTAGGGCTTGGACACATAGAAAAATGGTAGACAGACCTGTTGATCAGTGTATATCCTGCTTGCCTGGCTCTGCCTCTATGGGAAGCTTCATTGCTTTTTATACACTAACTGAACAGAATTGAGAAGAAAAACAAACTGCTGCCAAAAGACAGAGCAAGAAATGACCTCAAAATTAAGAATTTCTGCCACATACTGGGAAAAAAATGTTTTTAAATCACATATCTGATAAAGGAATTATCCAGAATATATAAAGAACTCTCGACTTCCGCCAAGATGGAGGCATAGGTGGAGATGCCATGCTTCTTCACACAACCAAGTTTAGAGACAACTAAATAATAGCAATAGGAAATACAGCCAAAACATAGAAAACTGAACTTTTTGGAAGTCTGATAACAACAAATTCTTCAGCCTGACTGGTAAGAGAAGTGAAACCAGCAGCTGGCAGAGTGGGGTAGCACAGGAAAACTCGGTCAGATGGACTCAGGTGCCCAGAATCCAGGCGCAGGGTTGGACCTGGTGGGCAACTCAGTAAGCAATCATGGGGAAACAGCAAGGGAGCAGGGCTGTGCATTGACTGTGGTAGCACATTCATGTGTGGATAGACAAGTGAGGGAGTGGGCTATTGGACAAGAGCCAGCAGCCCCAGCAGCAAGCTGTGGTGGAGGGCGCCGCCATTTCCCTGCTCTGACCCCGCCTCCACATAGCGTCATAATCCAGCGACCTAAGTGCCCCTGCCCCAGTGAACCACCTAAGGCTCTGCTCTTCACCCAGCTGTGATAAACAGCAGAGGGGGCCGCCATTTCCCCGCCCTGACCCCGCCTCCACATACAGCATCACAACCTACCGACCTGGGAGTCCAAGGCTCCGCTCTTCACACTTAAAGGGCACGAACAGACCAAAAATGGCTCAAGAAGATCTCAAAGCCCCAGAGCCTATAAATCTAAGCGATGAAGAAATAGCAAAACTCTCAGACACACAGTTTAAAACACTGGTGATCAGGACCCTCACAGAACTGGTTG